GAAGGTGCTGCGCGGGGACCCTCCCCCCCCCCCCCCCCCTGCCTCGCCCCCTGGCCTTCCTCCTCCTCCCCACCCGAGCCCGAGGGTTAGGATTGTGGGTAAAACTAGGAGGCCTGAGGGCGAGGAGGCGGAGGCTTTCATTCGACCCCCCCGCAGGGCCAAGCCAAGAGTACAGTTTGAGTCGCCAGCCCAGACTCGCGTTAGGGAAGCCACGGTCGCCCTGGATGCCCCGACTGGCTCGGAGAAGCGCCCCCGCCCGGCGGCGGCCACCACGAGGGCCAACGCCGCCCCTCCCAGCACGGTGCTCCCCGCGGAGGGGACGGTCCCTCCCCAGGCCTCTCGAGGCCATGTGCTCTGCCGCGCGGGCGACGTGGTTGGATGCATGCGCTGCGGATCCTTTTCAGAGCGTGCTCGCAGATCCCAGCTTTATAATGAATGCGAGGGCCCCAAAGCCTTTGAGGGGAACCCTCAGAGGAAATGGGGGCGGAATAATTTCGCCGAAGGGCGTTACCCCAGTGAGGGGCGCAGGCATCCCGCCCCCCTCCCTCGGCGCATGTTGGTCTCCGACCCCGCTGTGGAGTGGCTTGGCCTAGCCACCTGAATTCGGTTCAATTCGTTTTGTTCTTAATTTCTCTGTGCGGGGCCTGGTGATTCGATCGGCCCCGAGCCCAGGCCAGTCTCCTGGCCTGCATTTTTCGGCACGGGCCCGTCGTCGGGCTCGTGCGAGGGGATATGATTGGGCCTGCCCTCTCGCGTTCCCCAATCAGTATGTGAGTGATTGTGCGTTCTCACCTTTTCCCAATCGTTGCTCTCTGTCCCGTTTCCCGACTCGGCGCGTCCCCTCATGCGCTCGCTACTCCTCTTCCTATTCCTCCTCCTCCTCCTCCTCCTCCAGCCGGCTCGGCTCAGGGTCGGGGCCGCTGGCCCGCCGCCCCCTGCCCGACGCCACCGGCGCCTGGCCCGCACGGACCTGCCCGCCGCCCGTCGCCCTCTCGCGCCGGGGGTGGCGGGCGGTGGAGGCTGAGGAAGGGCAGCCATGGCGGCGGCTCCCCCTCGGGGTTGAGCCGCCCCTCCCGCCCGCGCTGGCCCCTCGCGGCGGCCGGCCGCTGGGCGCCTCCGGCGCGAGCCACCTGATGCTCGAAGTGGCGGACGCGGTGCTGACCGCCCCCTCCCTGCCCGCGGCGGCGCTCGTGGCGGCGCGTGGCCTTGGAGACGGCCCGATGGCGCGGCAGATCCAGGCCAAGCGCTTCGTCTCGAGGCGCCGTGCTGCGACGCGCGCCGCGCGCCGCCCGCGCCGCCTGCTGGGCGGGATCGTGTGCCTGGAGGCGCTGCTGGACGCCTTCTTCGTGCGCTGGCTGCTGCTCGCGCTGGAGCCGCCCCAGGTCAAGGACCTCGAGGGCGGCAAGAATTGGGTGCACGGCGAGGAGTTGCTGCTCCTCGGGGTCCTCTGAGGAGGCCCGTGGCCGGGGGCCTTGTCCGAGGGACGGGCCCCCGCGGTGGTCGGGGGGCCCACCCAGCGAGGGGGCCCCCCGCGGCGGGAGGGTCGGCACCGGCTCCTCCTGAGGCTCGCGGATCTCCTCCTCCACCTCCTCCTTCGCAAGCTCCAGCGCCTCTTCCTCCTCCGCCTCCTCCGCCTCCTCATCCTTCTCCTCGTAACCCAGCTCCCACTCCTCCTCCTCCTCCTCCTCCTCCACTTCCAGCTCCAGCATCTTCTCCTCCTCCTCCTCCTCCTCCTCCTTCTCCTCTTCTCCTCCCTCCGTTCTCCTCCTCCTGCCCCTCCTACCCCTCCTCCTCCTCCCTTCCCCCCACTATCCTCGTCTTCCTCCTTTCGTCCTCTTTCTCCTCCTCCTCCCATCCTCCTCCTCCTCCTCCTCCTCTTCCTCCCTCTCCTCCTCCTCCTCCTATCCCTCCTCCTCCCCCCTCTGCCTCCTCTTCCCTTTACTCCTCCCTCTTCCTCCTCCTCCTCCTCCGCCTCCTCCTCCCCCCCCCTCATCCTCCTCCCCTCCGCCTCCTTTCCTCCTCCCTCCTACCCTTTCTCCTCCTCCTCGTCGTCCCCCCCCTCCTCCGCCTCCTCCTCTCCCCCCCCTCCTCCCCTGTTTCTCCTCCTCTCATCATCCTCTTCTCCTCCTCCTCCTCCTCCTCCTCCTCTCCTCCTCCTCCTCCTCCTCCTCCTCCTCTCCTCCCCTCCTCCTCCTCCTCCTCCTCCTCCTCCTCCTCCTCCTCCTCCTCCTCCTCCTCCTTCTCCTCTTATGATGCTCCAACCTACTGTGGCCCTGATCGCCAGGAAGAAGTTCGAGCGCCCGAAAAAACATTGAAACTCAAGGGTTTTCACGTGTCGGGCCCTGAGAGACACTAGCCCGAAACTGTCTCGACACTGTTTTTTTACACTTTTCCAGGTGTGCGAGATTATTTCTGGGATGCGGTCCTTAAGTAGGATGGGAACCACATAAGCGGAGGCCACTCGTGCCGAGGCGCCGCATGGGCCCCAGCAGCCAGGATACGCAAGGGCCCTCGAGGGCGCGAGGTTCTTCGCGCTCCGCGTTTCGGCTCCGATTCCTCCTCATCCTCCTGTTCTCCCCTGGGAGGCGGCGCGAGAGCGCGAGGTTATCCGCGCTTCGCGCAGCGCGAAGCGCGAAGTTGGGACCTTCAGACTGACCTTGCCGGTCCCCGCCTCCTGGGCGCTTGTTCTTGTTTCCCTTTTCCAGCCCGTGGGGGGGCTCACGTCGCTCCTCCACGGGCTCCACGGCCCGGGCCCTGCCTTGGGCCCGGGAACCTCTGGGGCCGGACTGGGGAGAGAAAAGCTATTTCCCCCTCCTTCCCCGTTCCGTCCTGGGACCCCGCCCCCCTCCCCTGTCGAACCACAGCTTTGGTATGCAAATCCACAGTTCCGTGGATAGCATGACGTTTCACGTGCGGTGCCCCGCGGACCCGATGTCTTTTGGGCCCACGATGTTAATTGAGATTGTGGATTCGCTCCCGGAAACAATGGACCCATGGTTTTTTCTCACACACGGGAAACTGCACCCGCGCAACATAGAAATAGAATCCACGATATTGTCGCACACCCGAAAAGGGATCCCGTGGGAACAACAATCTCGGCCTGGGGGCGTGGGTGCAGTATGTGGTGCCCGTCCCGTGCTGCGTACAGTGCGCCGCGGTCTTCTTCAGCTGACGTGAAAGAGCGATCCGGGGGATTACACAGCCCGAATTTCCAAGGTGTGGAGCCCCTCAAGCGGGGATCACCTCGTGCTGTACAGTGCACTGCGGTCTTCTTCAGCTGACGTGACAGAGCCAACCCAGGGATTACACAGCCAGAGCCAACCCAGGGATTACACAGCCAGAGTTTCCCGGGGTGGAGCCCCTCAACCTGGGGATCGCCTCGTGCTCGCGGGGCGGGGGGGGGGGCCTCTGCCCCGCGTGCTTTGGGGGGGGGGGGGGGGGGGGGGGGAGCGGGGTCCGCCGGGGAGCGCGGGCGCTGTGCCGACGCTTCGAACCAGGATGGCTCCCAAACGGTGTGGTGACCACACCGTGCGGTGAGTCGGTGGGGATGCGGGGTCACCGCACGGTTTTGGGACCCGAGTCCCTCTCCGAGGATATCTCGGGCGACAGGGGCCTCCAGGGTCCCAAGACCGTGCGGTGACGGACCGTGCGGTGATTCCTCTTGGGGTTCCGAGGTCACCGCACGGTCTGTCACCGCACCGTTTCGGGACTCCAAAAACCTCCAGGATGGCTCTGGGGCAGCTCGGAAGCTGGGCGAGGGCTGGCAAATCCGTGGTTGCCAAAACGGCGTTCCCAGAAAAAGAATCCTGAAATAAAGCTCAGCGCACTAAATAGGCTGCTTCCCGGAAGAGCAAAGCAAGTTCCCGGGGCTCCGTTTTAGTGGCAACGGGTTTGGCAGCCTTCGCTTGGCTGCTGAGCAGCGCGCGGGGGGGGGGGGAAAGAGGGCCCGAGGCGGACATCCAGCGCCTCATCGCCGGCAGGCAGGTTCTGTGCATCGACGACCCCATGGAGGCCGGCCGCTGCCTCGGCTGCAGCTTCCAGGGGATGGAGCTCGGACGACGACAGCCTGCAGTCAACCCGCACAGTAAGGATGGGCAGCCTTCCCAAGGGTGCCCTGGCATCCTTGCCGCCTCGGTCCATCCTCGGCCACGTTCGTTGTCCGCGCCCCGCTCGAAAAGCTTCGAAAGGGGCGTCCAGGGCCCTTGCATCCTTGTCGTGCATCAGGGCTGGACCTGAAAGGTGTTTGGGCGATTTCGTGGGCCGTTTTCGTTTCGATTTCGTTTGCGGTAAAGGCGGATTGAAAACAAAACGATGGAAAACTATGTCAAATCGGAAACGACAAACAACGTTTAGGTTAAGCCCTGTCGTGCATCCTTACGATACGGGTTGACTGTACACACCGACGCCGACCCTGGCCAGGCTTTAGTCGGACGTGTCCCTCTGCAGGAGGAATCTTCAAAGATAGGCAAACGATAGTCTGGGGACGATGCTTTGACTATGTTTGAGCACTTTGGGTGTATTTGTTTTGTATTTGTTCATTTGTCGTCCAAAATCCGCCTGCAGGGGGACACGCCCGAGTTCAGGCCAGGTCCATCCTGGGCCCAACATCGGCGTACACAGCGTCCTGGGCAAGCTAGGAAGGCAGACGTGCCGATCCTGAGCTCAAGTTTGGCCTGGCCTAAATCGGTGTCGGCGTACAGCTGCCGTCGTCCCAGGAAAGGCTGGTGTACGAGCAGAGGCGATCAAAGACCAAGCAGACCATACAAGCGTAAATGTGTCGCAGGTCCCCGCGGGTCTCTTGAGTTGGCGTCGGACCCCCTCCCCGCGCCCATGGCGCCGCCTCCGGCGCGCTCCGCGCCGCAGAGGAGGATACAGTGGAAGCCCATGCCAAGAAGCACCCTGCTTGCCTCCATGGTGCCCTGGGTTTCTTGGGTGTGGATGGTTTTGCTATGGAAAGCGTGACGTTCCGACACCAAAAATCAATGGACGTCCTGGGGTCTCAGGGTTGGTCTTCTTGTGGAAGGTTCTCTTGTGGTCGAGCTCCTACTGCATGTGGGGAGGAGGGTCCAGCGCGACCCAAGAGATCCGCGTGGACCACCAAAGGCTTCTGTGGTGGGAGGGCACGCCGGTCCCGGCCAGGCCCGTGCTGGGCGCAGGCTCGGTGGAGGCTTCCCCCCCGGCTGTGGGCCAGGGAGGCACACGGCACACCGATCCTGGGCCGCGAGCCTGGCCAGCGTCGGTGCAGATGCACACGTCGATCACCGTGGGTCCATCACCGCGGGCGGGGACAGAGTTGGGAGGCCGAGGTGGGCTATACCTGGCCAAACCTAGCCTGCAAAAGCGGGCTTCAAGTGCCCTAGGTGGCGTAGGGGAGGGTAGATCCAGGTTCAGCGGGCGGAGCCCACTTCGCGAGTGTTTCCTACCACCCTGAAACACTTAGGGCATGTGTGACCCACTTGTGAGATAGACTAGGCCAGGCATAACCCACCTTAGAATCCACTTCTAGCTCCACTGTCCCCTCAGCGATCCCTCGGTGATCCAAGTAACGCTCGCTGCCCGACGTTACTGTCGTCTGCCTCACGTCCAGGCGAGCCTTCCACCTCCTCACCGGCTGCTCCGACGCGCGGGTGGAGGAGGTCCGAAGAATGAAACATTGCGTAAACATGGTCTCTCGGAGGTCCGCGCGGAGTTCTCGGATCGGCGTTGGGCCCCCCCTTGGCGGCGACTCCGGCGCGGCCCGCCCCGGGCGCGCTCCGCAGCCTAGGGAGGGGGGCCCAGCGCCGACCCAAGGAATCCGCGCGGAGCTCCGAAAGTTCATGCTCCTGTTCCTGTGTTCCTGAACCCGAGCTGTTCTTCCTCTGGAAGGTCTTCCTCTGGAGGTCTTTCCTTCTTTCCTTGTTTTGTTTGTTTGGGGTTCTTTACAGGAAAAATGTTCTTCCTCCGGAGGTCTTCCCCAGCCCTCGGAGCTCTGGAAGCTGCTGGAGCTGGAAGAAGAAGCAGCGGCATACACATAAACTGCTGGCGCTCCGCGCGGACTTCTTGGATCCGCGCTGGGCACCCCCCGGCGGCGCATCCAGCGCCGCCCCCGGCGCGCTCCGCGCGCTTAGTGAGAGGTACCAGCGCAGATCCAAGGAATCCGCGCGAAGGTCCGAAAGTTCCGAGCTGTGCTTCCTCTGGGAGGTCTCCCTCTGGAGGTTTTTTTCCTCTGAAGCAAAAACAAAACAGAACGTGTTCAGGAGGGACAAAGACACACAGACACCATTCTTCGCCGACTCCCCGGTTAAATACCGGAAAATATGGAATCTGGGAAGTGGGGGGGAAGACGAAACTTCAGGCGATATGGGAAAGCATTGGGGATCCTGGGGCTGGCTGTTCTTGCTGGCGCGCCCCCCAGGGGCCCCCTCACATGCTCCTCCTCCGGAGGTCTTCCGCGGCCCGCCGCCCGCGGAGCTCTGGAAGCTGCTGGAGCGGCGCGAGTTCCCGAGCCTCACGCACCGCGCCTGCGCCGAGGCGGGGCCGCCTGCGATCCGCTTCAATCTGATTCTCAGGAGGGGAAAAAAACACACAGAGACAGAATTCATCGTCCACACCCCTGGAAATTCAGGAAAAGACGGGAAGTGGGGGGGGGGAGCCCAGAAAACATGGGAAAGCATGGGGAGTCCTCTCTTGGTCGTGTCTGTCTGTTTCTGTGTCCCAGGGCCCCTTCAGATTCGATTCGCCGGCTGGGGCCGCGATTCCAAGCCGATGCGATGCGGCTCTGTTCACCGGCATCGGCCAGGGCCGGCCAGAAGCGGGGCGCGGCGATTCGATGCCGATCCAATTCGGGACGATGCGCTGGCGGTTCGACTCGCTCTCGGTGCGATCCGATGCCTTGCGAGCCGAGCCAGCGCAGACCTGCCCGAGGCCCGCCACGAGGTGCTGCCCGTGCCGCAGCGGCAGGTGGGGCGCGTGCTGGGCAAGGGCGGCGACCGCGCGCGGCAGATGCGGGAGATCCCCGGCCTCACCAGGCTGAGGTCCCTCGGGTGCCTCGAGACGGGGGCGATAAGTCCTCCTCCTCCTCCTCCCCCTCCTCTTCCTCCTCCTCCTCCCCCTCCTCCTCCTCCTCCTCCTCCTCCTCCTCCGCCTCCTCCTCTTCCTCTTCCTCCTCCTCCTCCTCCTCCTCCTCCTCCTGAGCGTCAGCTTAGTCTGACCAGCTACCTGTCTGTGTAATGTTTCACTTTGCTGGCAGGCTTACTTGACTTGACTCGATTGGCAGCCAAGGCGGAACGAAGACAGAGCGAGCAACACCGAGAAGGCAAAGCGAAGACGAGCAAAAGCATTGTTTAGGTCGAGCCCCAAGGAGAACGAGCGAGCGATCGCCGGAGCGTCGAACGCCCCAGGACGGAGCCCGCGCGTGGCCACTCGTCGGGTTCTCGAGAGACGGGCGTCCATGCAGACGGGGGTGGGCCAGGGCACTGGGCCGCAGGGTCCTGCGCAGCCAGGGTTTGTCAGGGGCAACGATAGGGGGGGATGGGGGGGGACGCATCGACCCCCAATCGCCCACAGGTCGCCGATAGGGGCCCGATAGCCCCAGCCTGCACAGGAAGGTGCGGATTCACGATCGGAGGCCTATCGCCGATCTATCGGCGATGCGTCGCCGATTCCAGGTCGATGCATCCCCCCCTATGCTTAAGTCGGGCCTGTCCCTCTACAGAAGGAAGGAATATTCAAAAATAGTCCAAACAAATAGTCTGGGGACTATTTCTTTGTTATTTTTGTTGGACCATTCTGGGGTGTTTTTTTGCCATTTCTAATTTTTTGCCCAAAGTCCCCCTGTAGGGGGACAGGCCCGACCCAATCCTGTGCCAGTTCCCCCCCCCCTATGCTTTAGCGTTGCCCCATCGTGTGTGCGGTGGCCCGGGCAGGGGCGCGGGCTCCTGCAGGCCCCTGCAGGATTCTGCGTTGAGTCGGGCCTGTCCCTCTGCAGGAGGAATCCGCCGGTAGGAGGGCATGCCCGACCTAAACGTGAACATTAGTTGGTTGGGATTTGATGTCGATTGGGATTTGATGTCGGCATCGTTACGGATTTGATGTCGGCATCGTCACAGACGTTGTCCGTTTGAGACAGGGGGCCGCCTGCTCCACAGCGGCTGCCATCGGTTTCGGACAGCATGTGTTGTTGGGCAGCGTGCCAATGTTTTTGTCTGCAGGAGGAGTCCGCCCGTAGGAGGACATGCCCGACCTGAACGTGAACATGCTTTCTCGGAGGTCCAGGCGGATGTCTTGGGTCGGCGTCGGTTTCGGACAGCACGTGCTGTTGGGCAGTGTGCCAATGCTTGTCGTACCCCTTGCCGGCCGCCGGAAGAGTCAGGGGAGGGCGAGCTCGGGCAGCGGCGCCTGGCCTGCGAGGGGGGCCCTGGTCGCCACGGCTGGGCGCAGCTCGGAGAATTGGTGCGTCTGGACCCCATGGATAGGGCGACGAGATCTATGCATATCCACTGCTCCCGGCCAGGCCAATCCTGGGCCCAGGAGCGGTGTATACGCCCTCCTGGCTTGGCCAGGGAGGCATATACACCGCTCCTGGGCCCAGGATGGGCCTGGCCAGGAGCAGTGGATATGCATAGATCTCGTCGCCCTAATGGAGGGGTCCTGGGACCGACATCTCGAGCCACCGTTGTCCGCAGAATTGTAAGGAGGAGCAGTCGCTTTGCATACGTAAACGTAAGTCGGGCCTGTCCTCTGCAGGAGCAATACCCAAAAATAGTCAAAACAGATAGTATGGAAAGGATTTTGTGGACCATGTGTGGGCATGTTGGGTTTTTGGTCCGAAGTCCGCCTGTTGGAGGACATGCCCGACCTAAACGTGAACATTATTTCTCGGAGGTGCAGGCGGATTTCTTGGATCGGCGTGGGGGCCCCTTGGGGGCTCCGCGCGCCAGGGAGGGGGATCCAGCGCCGTTCCAAGAATCCGCGCAGACCTCCAGGAAAGTATGTTCATGCTGCATCTTTATGTTCTAGGGTTAAATCGGGCGTGTCCATCTGCAGGGGGAATATTCAAAAATAGTCAAAAATTGTCTTGGGACGATTGGTTTTAGTATTGTTGACTATGTTTGAGCATTTTTGGATCTTTTTGTTGTTTCCTCCAACATCTGCCTGTGGTGGGACATGCCCGACCTAATTCGAAGATCGGGGAAACGTAAGACTCGAGTGAGCCAGAACACGGGTTCGCCGACGTTCTTTTACGAGCGCGTCCTGGATTTTGACGGTCCTTTTTCGTGGGATGTGTGCAGCGGGAGCTCGCGTCAATTTAAGAGTGGGTTTCGTCGTTTTATGATGGCCTTGGAAAGGCCAACCCGAGTCCCCCGTACCCGAGTCTTACGTCTCCCCGATACGAACAGGGTTAGGGATGAAGATTCGTAGTTACAGAATCTAGAAGATTGCTCTGTCGGGACGCGCGTCCCAGAGCGGCTGGAAAGTGCCTGCCCCTGCGGTGGCAAGTCGGAGTAGAAGCCTTCCAGCTGCCCTGGGACAGGCGTCCCCGACGGCGGGGAAGCTAATATTATGCCGTTCCTCGTCCGCCAAGGGGTGGCGCGAGGGGGGGCGGGGGGGCGCGAGGGGGGCCAGGAGGCGACTTCTTGGGAGGCCCTTCTGCCTTCTCTGGAGCCTTCTCGGAGGCCTCCGACGCCATCTCGAGGACGATTTGCACTGACACGTGAGCGGGGCTCCAGCCCGCCCGGCAGCTCCCTCACGGAGCCCTGCGCCGGCTTCCACTCCCTTCCGTTCCTCGAATGAGAAAAAACGCCATAAACACAAACTTTTGGCGCTCCGCGCGGATTTCTTGGATCCGCCCATGGGCGCCGCCCCTGGCGCGCCCCGCGCGCCAGGGAGCGGGGGTCTGGGCCAGATCCAAGGAATCCGCTCGGAGCGCCACAAGTTTGTGTGCTGGTGGCGCGTCCTCTTCTTCCAGTGCCGAGGCCACTTGCGGGCCCCCTGCCTGCACCGAGAGCGTCCCACTACTCGCAAAAAGTGCCTACTCGCACACGTCAGAAAAACAGGTCTGGATCGATGTGATGTGTCGCACATCTCCCATGGCGGATCCAGGCCAGTCTGCGAGTAGTGACTTTGCGAGTAGCGGAACGCGCTTGTCTATGCCTGAATGTTTCGACACCACGCTCTCACGGCGTGAGCGTCAGCTCCGGGAGGCCCGCGCGGAAGCCCCAGGCCAGCGTGTGGCCCCACTCACCGCGCCTGGTTCCCCCCACTGCGGAGCGCGCGGTGGTCGCACCAACGTGTGGCCTCGCCCTCTGGCGCCAGCCCGGGGGTGGAGGGTTTCTACGAAGGGCTGAGGCGACCCGTCCTCCTCCTTCTCCTCCTCCTCCTCCTCCTCCTCCTTCCTCCCTCCTCCCTCCTCCCTCCTCCCTCCTCCCTCCTCCCTCCTCCCTCCTCCCTCCTCCTCCTCCCTCCTCCCTCCTCCCTCCTCCTCCTCCTCCTCCTCCTCCTCCTCCTCCTCCTCCTCCTCCTCCTCCTCCTCCTCCCCCGCCTCGGGTCGCCTACGGCCCCGGGGGAAACCGTGCACCCAGGGGATCCACGCGAGCCTTCAACATCGGAGGGCCTCAAGTGTACACCTACACTGACCCTGGCCAGGTCCATCCTCGGCCCAGGATCAGCCTGGACAGGATCGGTCCCAGGCGTGTGTAGCTGGCGCCCGCCGACGAGAAAGGTCTACGTCGATGCCGTGTTGCGGTCCCCCGCGAGGGTGGAAGACTCGTCTTCGCCCGACGGCGAGGCAGAGTTCCACATCTCGGGGTCGCCGGAGGCGGTGGAGGCCTGCCTGCAGCAGATCAGGGCCTGCCTGGACGAGCCCCGGAGGCCGGCGGAGGCGGCGCGAGCCCGTCCCCGGAGGCCGGCCGAGCCGGCCTCGCTCTACCCAGCGAGGGGCGGCTCTGGCGGCGACGCGCGCGGCGACCCAGACTACGACAGGAGCGGCGCTTTGCTGGGGCAGTGCCCCAGGATTCTCGGAGGTGGATAGACCTCCTACCCTGACACGTCGATTAAGGAATTGGCCGTTTTCGGCTCGCGAGAGGGCGTCGCGGCCGTCATTTTTGCGGGTCCAGGTCCGTCGGTTTCGGTCCCAGGCCGTTTTCACTAATGGGAGGTTTACTAAAGGAAGGTTTATCCACCGCCGAGATTCAGTCGGGCACGTCCCTCTACAGGAGGAATGTTTGGCAACAGTCCAAGACTGTTCTGGGGACGACGTGGCGACTGTCTTCGAGCGTTTTTGAATGTTTTTGTTCGAACTTGTTTGTTTTTCTTTCAGAGTCCGCCTGTAGGAGAACATGCCCGACCTAACCCTAGACCCTAGACGCCCCAACATGGCCCCCAAGATGGCCCCAAGAGCGCACATCAAGCTCCCAAGGTGCCCTCAGCGAGCTCCGGGAGCCTCCACAGAGCCTCCTAGGAGCCTCCGAAGAGCCGGCCGGCTTCACCCGGACCCTTTGAAAGGCTTGCGGACAAGCAAGCGTACTTTCTTTCTCACCAGTACGCTGTCGACGCGCCGCTCGGCCTCCGGGTCGCCCGCAAGAGGCCCGTCTGGGGACGACGTGCCGACTGTTTTAGGCAGGTCTTGCATGTGTCTGGCCATTTCTTGAATCGTTCTTCCAAAACCCGCCTGGAGGAGCCCATATGCCCGACCTAAATCTACGCTGTCGCAGGCCTAGAGATTGACACCAACACCAATATCGGCGGTGTGCATCTACCGAGGGAAGAAGATCCCGATCTCGGTGATGGTGGTAATATTCTGGCTTTCAAGGCGGCCGAAATATTGCCACCAGCACCGAAATCTAGGATCATCTTCCCCATGTGGAGGCAGCCCCCTGTGTTGGTGTTGGTGCCCGATTCTAGGCCTCAAACATTGCTTGAGGCACACCTCGTCCTCGAGACCCCCTCCGCGCCGCCACGAGGGGGAGGCCCTTCGGAGGCATGGGGAGGGTCCTCTTGGCCGCGGCGGGCCTCGGCCCCACGCATGCCGAGGAGGCCTTCCGCGAGGAACCAGCCCAGGCCAGGCCGCCTTGGCATCGCTCGGACGTGTGCACCTTTCCTTCGGCGAGGACCATCGAGGAGCATCCTGGATCATTTGGCGACAAAAAACACGCACGAAGCCGCAAAAAGCACAGGGAATGGACGTCCGAGCGATGGCGAGGGCCCGTCCACGGCGGCAGGACACGCCCGACGGAACCCCTGGGGACTCCGAGGAGGAGTCGGCACCGGCGCCACCGCTCGCCCGTGCCGCGAGCTCTCGCCGCCTCGGCCGGCTGCGCCCCGAAGGCCTGGTCAGGGCGCGCCCCAGGAGAGGCCTGTGCAGCAGCGGCACGTGTCCTCCTCCTCCTCCGCCTCCAGTCCTTTCTTCTTGTAGATAGTGTCTCCCAGTCGCACCCCGAGGCCAGTTCTGTTAGGGCGGGCCGGGCGTTTCGCCCGCGTCTCCCACACCAGCTATGACTCTGAGGCTGCCAAAAATGACAGCAGCTTCACAGATGGAGGGCGGATGGGGTTGAAAATGTGGCTCTCTCCTCCTCCTCCTCCTCCTCCTCCTCCTCCTCCTCCTCCTCCTCCTCCTCCTCCTCCGCCTCCTCCTCCTCCGCCTCCGCCTCCGCCTCCGCCTCCGCCTCCTCCTCCGCCTCCTCCTCCTCCTCCGCCTCCTCCGCCTCCTCCCTTTCATCCTCCTCCTCCTCCTCCTCCTCCTCCTCCTCCTCCTCCTCCTCCTCCTCCTCCTTCTCCCAGGAGCGGCGCCTTGCTCAGGAAGGGCGGCGGGAAGGCCGACCCCTCCAGGGGCACAGACAACGACAGAGGGGGCCGCGCTGCGCCCAGCAGCGGCCCCTCCAGGAAGGGCGGCGGGAAGGCCGACTCCTCCTGGGACGCGGACTACGATAGGGGTGGCCGCGCCGTGCCCAGCAGCAGAGGCTCCGACCGTCCCCGCGGGGGCGACGCAGGTCGTCCGGAATCGCAGAAGCAACAATTGCATACAGTGGAGGCCCATGCCAAGAAACACCCCGCTCGCCTCCAGTGTGCCCTGGGTTTCTTGGGTTTCGATGGTTTTGCTATTGAAAGCGCAATGTTCCCATACCAAAATTCAATAAACGTCCTGGGGTTTCTTGTGGACTGGCCTCCACTGTAAGCATTAACGTTGTTTCGCTCCGCGCAGATTTCTGGGATCTGTGCTGGGACCCCCCCGGCGGCGCCTTCAGCGCCGCCCCTGGCGCGCTCCGCGCGCCAGGGAGTGGGGTCCAATGCAGATGCATGAAATCCGCGCGGAGCGCCAAAATTTTGTATTTCTGTAGCTGCTTCTTCTAAGGTTATGATGCTCCAACCTAATTTAGCCCTGATCACCAGGAAGAAGTTCGAGCGCCAAAAAAAGTACCGACACTCCAGGGTTTTCACGTGTCGGGCCCTGGGAGACACTCGCCCGACACTGTTTCGACATTCTTTCGACGCTCTTTTGATACGTTTCCGGGGGCTCGAAGTTATTTCTGGGATGCGGTCCTTGAGTTCGGGGGCGGCAAGGAAGGGGGTGATGACTAGGGGGGGTGGATATCATGGCGTGGGCCATGATATTTCCCCAGATTTCATGGCGCCTCTTCTTGTTTCATTACGTCCCTGGCCCCCCCGCTGGGCCGCGCACATGACGCCGGTCATGATTTGCACCCCCCCCTCTTGGACATCCCCCTCTTGGTCGCCCCCGACGTAAGTACGATTGGGAGCAGCATAATTCTAAGGTCGCCGTGAGGCGGCACGATCGGGAGGGTTGCGGGAGGAGCGGGGACGGAGGCCGACGGCAGTTCCTGCCCTCTTCTGGGCCGGACTCGCTGTCGGCGGCGCCGCGGGCGGTGCCTTGTTGAGACAGACTCGGGTGACCCAAAGGGGGGTCCAGCGACAAGGGGAAGGAGGCGGATGAGGAGGAGGGGGAGGAGGAGGAGGAGGAGGGGAAGGAGGAGGAGGAAGAGGAGGAGGGGGAGGAGGAGGAGGAGGAGGAGGAGGAGGAGGAGGAGAAGGAGGAGGAGGAGGAAGAGGAGGAGGAGGAGGAGGAGGAGGAGGAGGATCGGGTTGACCCAAAAGGGGGTCCAGCGACAAGAGGGTGGTGCAATAGATTTGGTGCGATAGATTTGTGGGGTTGCAATCCGTTTGGGGCGTGCAATATCCCGGAGCGCAAATGTATTGCAGGATTTTCGCGCGCAATACATTATTTGCAATACAATGCAATACAATTCTCTTGCGCAATACGTGTGCAATACAAATGCCCCAAATCTATTGCACTACCCCTTTTCAGCTGGACCCCTTTTTGGGTCACCCAAACAGACGGTCGCCTGGCCAACAGCGGCCGCTGTCGTTGTTGGACCACATTTGTTTCGGGGGTGGATAGACCTCCCACCCTGACACGTCGATTCAGGAATTGGCCGTCTCCTGTTCGCGGGAGGGCGTCGCGGCCGTCACTTTTGCGGGTCCAGGTCCGTCGTTTTCGGTCCCAGGCCGTTTTCACTAAAGAGAGGTTTACTGAAGGGAGGTTTGTCCACCGCCGATTGTTATGGGCATCGTACCAATGTTTGCGCGTATCCATCCCGGGCGTCCAAAGTGAAGGGAAGGGGTCTTGAGGGAAACGGGCCTTGGACCCCAGACAAGCAGTGGCGAAGCGTCCTGACCTGCCCATGGGCGAGTCAGATAATGGCTGATCGGTTCGGGTTTGCACGAGCATGTTTTTGGAGCACGTCGTGTTGAGGGCGGCCTGGCTTAAAGCACTACGCTCTAAGACGATCATGTTGTTTTCGGTGGTGGTGGTGTTGGTGTTGTTGTTGTTGTTGTTGTTGGTGGTGGTGGTGGTGGTGGTGGTGGTGGTGGTGGTGGTGGTGGTGGTGGTGGTGGTGGTGGTGGTGGTGATATTATGATAACATGTTGCTGTTATGAGAGCACGTTCGCGGCAGGCCTCCAAAGACACCAGGCCAGCCGGCCCAGCTCCGCCCCGGGCTTTCTCTGAAGCGGGCTCTCGGGCGCTGCGCACTGGGGGGGCGAGAAACTGGGGGGGCGTAGGAGGGTATCGCCCTCTTGCACCCTGGGGGGCCACAAAAGGGGCACGAAGGGTGCACGTTTCGTCCCCCCGCTCCCTTTTCCACGATCGCCGCTTTGTGAAGCAACGCCAGAAAAGCTCTCCACCTCGAGTTCCCGAGGGGGAAGGAGGAGGAGGAGGAGGAGGAGGAGGAGGAGGAGGAGGAGGAGGAGGAGGAGGAGGAGAGGAGGAGGAGGAGGAGGAGAGAGGATGAGGAGGAGGAGGCGAAGGGGAGGCGGAGGGGGAGGGGGAGGGGGAGGAGGGGAGGAGGGGAGGAGAAGGAGGAGGAGCAGGAGGTGGAGGAGGAGGAGGAGGAGGAGGAGACGGAGGAGAAGCAGGAGCGGGAGGAGGAGGAAGAGGAGGAGGGGAGGAGGAGGAGGAGAGAGAAAAGGAGGAGGCCGAGGGGGAGGCGGAGGGGGAGGGGTAGGAGGGGAGGAGGGGAGGAGGGGAGGAGGAGGAGGAGGAGGAGGAGGACGAGGAGGAGGAGGACGAGGAGGAGGGGCCGTTTTTTTCCGACGGCCCTCAGGGGCCAAGGCCCGAGCCTCTTGGAAACATTTTGGGGCCCCTCTCCCCTCTGGACATTTGACGGTGGCATGATTGGTTTCCGCGCGCGACCCTTGAGGTCTTGACTCAAGCAATGGCGAAGTGTTCTGGCTCCCATGTAGGCCCACCAAAGAAAGTTCTAAGAATATTTGAGGTTTGCGCGAGATGTCATTAGAACAGTTGTGGTTGAGACTTTTCTGTTTTAACACATCGGATCGATGTTCTAAGAACACTCTTGCTTGGTATTAGAACATGACGCCAGCGAAAAAAACAAACACCATATGATTAGGGTTATAGGGCTATGGGGCTATAGGGATATAGTGCTAGAAGGCTATGGGGCTATAGGGCTATAAGGACAATATGATTAGGGCCTATAGGGATATAGTGCTAGAAGGCTATGGGGCTATAGGGCCATAAGGCTATAGGGCTATCGAGCACCAGGGCTATAGGGCTATATGGTTATAAGGCTACAGGGCTATAGGACGCTAGGGCTATTGGGCTATAGGGCTATCAGGGCTAAAGAGCTTTAGAGCTACAGAACTATAGGGCTATAAGGCCGTAAGGCCATAGGGCTACTGGGTACCCGGGCACCTTGGCACCTGCTGGGCACCCGGGCACCCAGGCACCCGGGTACCCGGGCACCCAGGCCGGCCACCGAAATCGGCGACGAATCTCGCTTAACCATATGAATCCGCTTGGATCCCTACAGAGGCAAGCTCTGATTGGGGAATCTTTGGGTTCTAGAAACATGTCGTGGTAGGCCTACAGGAACGCCGGGACGGTCGGTCCCTGTTCAATTGACCGCTTCCCCGGGCATCATTTAGGGCGTTCCAAGAAGGGCCGTCCCTTCGAGGACCGAAGGAGTGGTCACCGCTTCCTCGGCGGAAGGGCGGCAGAAGTGAAACGAGGCCGCCTCCGCCAGCAGAAACTCGGCGGAAGGCGGCGGAATTACAAGATGTGCTCCCAAGAGACGAAAACGTTTTAGGGTTCAGGGTTTCCGAAATCGCAGATTTCTCTGAGGTCCGCGCAGATTTTCATGGATCGGCGTGTTCACTAAACCACGTTTTACTAAAGGGGGTTCTGTCCATCCCCGAAAAGGGGTGTGGTGTGAAGCGGTGTGGTGCCACTGCTGAAGCTGACGGTGTTTTCTATCGTAGAAAACATTGCATGTCCGCGATTGGCACCACACCCCTTTATGCCAACCCCATTCCAACCTCCAAAAGTCGGGTATAGCCAGGACCCCGGGTAAGGGGACCCGGTTAGTGGTAGGCCCTTGGAGCCCCTCAATTGGCCAGATTTACTAAACCAGGTTTGCCGTAATTGGTGATTTCGGGCGACGGCAGTTCCGGTTAGTGGAGATGGGACGGGGGGGCGCCCCCGGTAGAAATCACTAAACCAGGTTCCACTAAACCCAGTTCTGCCAACGCCCGAAAAAGCATGGCCCCAGAGGCAGCAGATCGGGGAAGAGCGCTGGTGCGGGTCAGCCACGTATCGTCGGAGATGTGGGCCCTTCCCCCCGCGCCAAGCAGGTGAGCCGCCGCCCAGTGCGCTGGGGCTGGGCGACAGGCCAGGAGGGGAGATTCGAACAAGAAGAAACCGGCGTAACCACATATATATATATATATATATATATATACATATATATATATATATATATATGTATGCATGTATATGTGTATATGTACACACATATACAGCGGATTCACGAATTCCGCGCGGAGCGCATACACAGAATTTGTTAGCATACATAAAGATATGTGTATAAATAGTTGTGTGTGCGTGCGTGCGTGCGTGCGTGGGTGCGTGGGTGCGTGGGTGCGTTTGTGTGTATTCGTGTGTGTGTGTGTCTATGTCTGTATGTGTGTCTGTGTCTGTGTCTGGTGGTGGGGTTGGGGGGGGTGTCAGGTTAGCCAGTTCGAACGAGCCAGTGGGCTCCGTCCACTCCCACCCGCCCTCCCACAACATAAGAAGCAAATGCGTCGCGTCCGACGCCTGTCGCTCATCTAATATTGTGGGCGGCTAGACGTTCAGCGCGTGACATGAGCTGCGTCCTACTCCTGCCACGCATTGAGCAACGTCGACGAGAAACAAGACCGCGCGCGATGTACGCCGCGCCCCGCTCCAGCCTTTTCGTGTTGCATCGTCAGCGACAACATGTCCAGCGAGCGAAGTGCGCCGCGTCTCATTCCAGCCACGCGTGTTGTACAGCCAATCGCTTCGCTCCTGCCGCGCATGGAGGGGGGGGGGCCCGCAAGTGGTCCGGCCAGCTTCGCCTGAGCTCCGCCCGCTGCACGTGGTACCTACGGCCACAACAGCGACCATGACGAGTGCGACGCGGACGATGACTCTGGTGGCGACGATGAGACGGAGGACGACGAAGGCCGACGTCCTTTTCGCAATGCCATGTGACTGTCATCGCCAGGTCGGCTCAGCTCCCAGTGCGCCCCGTCCCCCGAGAAACCCGGCCCCGCTGCCCAGCAGCCCCGCCATGGAGGCGCTCGGACAATTGGCCGCCGGCGCCGCGGCAGCCGACAACGGCCGCGACGCTACAACGTCGCCGACGCGTAAGGGGGACTTCTCGCCGGGGTGACCTTTTGTGCGCTGCTTTTTGGCCCTCGGGGGGGCCATTGATTGCCGCGGCCGGAGGGGTCCGGGGGCCGATTTTGGCTTGATCTGTGCGCACCAAGTGTCACTGTTGCCAAAAGTCTCTCTTACGTGGACACGACAACGGGCGCACCGGCGGCGAACAGCAATTATTTGAGGCATTATGATTCGCCGCCTGCCCAGCTCCTCAACCCGACGGGCCGCAGCGCCGACGAGGAGAAAGTCCATGTTGGCGAGCAGGCGCCCCCGCGCGATGCGCGCTGCGTCCCATTCCCGCTGCGCGATTCGCAGCGCCGATGAGAAGAAAGTACATGTTGGCAAGAACAACGTCGAAGTTGCGCTGTTTGTTGACAGGTGGGACGCGGGGTCCCGCGTAGGGCTGGCCAGGCGTCCGCGCGCGATGCGCGCTGCGTCCATTCCAACTACATTTTTCGCAGCGTCGACGACAAGAAAGTCCACGCGGACGAGAAAAATGTTGACTGCGTCTTGTTTTTTTGAAGGGTAGGACGCGACCGCCCGCTAAGGGTTACCCAAGCGATGTCCATTCCGTCCCAATTCTGCCGCAACTCGACGACACGCTGGCGAGAAACAAGTTGAGTTTGTGTTGTTTCTTGACAGTTACGACGGCGGGGTTGATATCGGCCGGCTAGGTGGGGATGTGGGGGTGTTTAATCATAAGGAGTAAGGATGAGGGTGAGGGTGGAGGTGTGGGGGGGGGTGGGGGGGTGGCGGGGGTCAAGTAAGCCAGCGCGAACGAGCCACAGGGCTCCGTCCACTCCCACCCGCCCTCGCACAAGATAAGAAGCAAGTGCGTCGCGTCCGACGCTTGTCGCTAATCTTATACCGCGGGCGGCTAGACGTTCAGCGCGCGACATGAGCTGCGTCTTTCTCTTGCCGCGCATTGAGCAACGTCGACGAGAAAAAAGACCGCGCGTGACGTATGCCGCGCCCCGCTCCGGCATTTCATGTTGCATCGTCGGCGACAACATGTCCAGCGCGCGAAGTGCGCCACGTTTCATTCCAGCCACACGGGTGGCACCGGCAATCGTCACTGCTGCCAAAGGTCTCTCTTACGTGGACACGCCAACGGGCGCGCCGGCGGCGAACCGCACTTGCTTGAGGCATTATGATTGGCCGCCCGCCCAGCGCCGACGACAAGAAAGTCCATGTTGACGAACAGGCGTCCCCGCGCGATGCGCGGCGCGTCCCATTCCCGCTGCGCGATTCTCAGCGATTCGCAGCGCCGACGGGGAGAAACTACATGTTGGCAAAAACAACGTCGACGTTGCAGTGTTTGTTGACAGGTGGGACGCGGGGTCCCGCGTAGGGTTGGCCAGGCGTCCGCGCGCGATGCGCGCTGCGTCCATTCCAGCTACACGTTTCGCAGCGTCGACGACAAGAAAGTCCACGCGGACGAGAAAATCGTTGACTGTGTCTTGTTTTTTGTAGGTAGGACGCGACCACGCGGTTCCGGTTACCCAAGCAATGTTCATTCCGTCCCTTTTTCGTTGCACGTTTCGCAACTCGGCGACACGCTGGCGAGAAACAGTGATTTCGTGTTGTCTGTTTTGACAGTTTGGACGGCGGAGCTGCTATCGGCCAGCTAGGTGGGGATGTGGGGGTGTTTAATCATAGGAAGTAGGGATGGGTGCGGGTGTGCGGGTTTGCGGGTGTTCGGGTGTGCGGGTGTGCGGGCGTGCGGGTGTGCGGGTGTGTGGGTGTGCGGGTGTGCGGGTGTGCGGGTGTGCGTGTGTGCGTGTGTGCGTGTGTGCGTGTGTGCGTGTGTGCGTTTGTGTCTGTGTGTCTGTGTGTTTGTGTGTTTGTGTGTTTGTGTGTTTGTGTGTCTGTGTGGGTGCGTGTGTACGTTTGTGCGTGCGTGGGGCGGTGGGTTGGTGGGTTGGTGGGCGTGTGTGTGTGTGTATGTGTGTGTGTGTGTTGTGTGTTATGCCCGTTTTTAGAAGAGAAGAGTACTAGTGGCACGGTGTTGTCTGGCGCCCGCCCGCGCGTTGCGCCTTCAGCTGGGCGCCCCCGACAGGGGACTGACACCGCCGCTCCACGGTTTTTTCTGGAGCTGGGGAGGGCCCCGACGGGCCGCCAGGACGACCGCCATGAGGCTTGGAGGGCCCACGGAAACAGCGGCGGGGGCGGGCCGAAGTGGTTCGTCGCACCCCCCCCCCGTCCCCCCTCCGCTGGAGCAAGAATCTCGGGTGTTACTGGCGCCTGTTTCAAGCAGGCGGGGTCTCCCCCCAATTGGACGGACTGCTGCAAGCAGTCGCATTCAGCAGATGTCCGGAGCCAGACCCCCCCTACCCCCCCTTTTTCCGCCCAATGGCGAAACGCCGAATACGAAAACACGTTCACAATGAGTTAAAGCGGAGTTCCCCACGGCGGCGCGTCATTCCATCACTGCGCTCACCCCGCTGGCCCATATGCTGCAAGCAGGGCTGCAGTGCCTTCAGTCAGACCTGGGGCGTGGACAAGAGGCCTTCCTGGGACGCTCGTTGGGGTCTCTGGGGAGGCCTCTCGGGCCTCGTGGCGTCTTTGGGGGGCCTCTTGGGGGCCTCTTGTGATCGGTTGCCCACGGCGGCGTGTCCCTGACACTGCTGATCTTCTGCCCGAGCAGGCTCGCTTGGGACCGGCGCGGGGCGGCCGCGCCTGGGGCCTCATGGGGCGCCGGCGGGGCGCGGGGCAACGGGTGGAGCGGCGCAGGCCATCGAAGGACAAGAACGGCATGAGCAGAACCTTTTGGCGGTCCGCGCGGATTTCTTGGGTCTGCGCTGGACCCCCTCCCTGGCGCGGGGAGCGCGCCAGCGGCGGCGCTGGAGGCGCCGTCAGGGGGGTCCCAGCGCAGACCCAATAAGTCCGCGCGGACCGCCAAAAGGTTATGCTTATGCTGGTGTTTGTTCCTCCAGGCCAGTGGGGCGAGGCAGGCGGCTGGGAGAGCTGGCGCTCGGGCGGCTGGTGGTCGGGATGGGGGAGGTGTTCAACGCAAGTCTGCGGTGCACAGGGCGCGTGTTCGCCCGAGGTGAGCGACGGGGCCGTTTGCGCGGACATGCGCGCGCAAGCCTCCCGCGCGAGGGCGCTCGCAGGCGCCCTTTTCTCCACGCGGTGTGCCACGCCGGCGGCCCGCATAAGTTGCGGCGCAAGGTCGCCGTGTCTTCTCGCGCAAGGTTAAGTCGGGCATGTCCCTCTACAGGGGGAATCTTCAAGAATACGAAACAAATCATCCGGGGACTGTCTTCTGAGTAGTTTGGATCATGGTTTGAACACCGTTGTGCCATTGTTTTATCTTGCGCCCAAAATCTGCCTGTAGGGGCACACGCCCGACCTAAGCGTAAGGCCCGGTCCGTGTCGTCGCCCACGTGCGCTTGCCCCGTTGCGCTCCGCCGGCAAGCACGCAGCCTGCGCCTGCCCCGCAGCAGCGCCTGCGTCGTGGCGGAGGGCCTGGCCTCTCGGCGGACTCGACGCAAGAGTGACCTTTCGCCGGAGTGACCTTCGGTGCGAGCCCAAAGGGGTCCCCCGATCGCCGAACGCGATGCAATAGTAGCGTCTTGCGCGCTTGTGTTTGCCCCCCCCCGCGGCCCCCCAAAAGGGTGCGCACCAAAGGCCGCTCTTGCCCAGGGTCACTCCTGCGTGTAGCCGATCTCGGTGGACCAGCACTCGCTGGCGCCGGCACGTGTTCTGGGGCTATGATGTTCTAACCTACTGTCGCCGTGATCACTCGGAGGTGGATAGACCTCCTGCCCTGACACGTCGATTAAGGAATTGGCCGTTTTCGGTTCGCGAGAGGGCGTCGCGGCCGTCATTTTTGCGGGTCCAGGTCCGTCGGTGTCGGTCCCAGGCCGTTTTCACTAAGGGGAGGCTTAACCATGAAAGCACCCCCCAAATTGGAGGGCTTCCACGTGTCGGGCCCGGGGAGACACTCGTCCGACGCTGTGTCGACACCGATTTGATATTTGTTCGACACATTTCTGGGTGCTAGAAATTATTTCTGGGATGTGGTCCTCAAGTACGATGGGAGCAACATAATTCTGGGGATCGTTGTACAAGCTCGCCGTTGCGCAGGTCGAAGAAACGGAAGCGTCGTGAGCGTACTTACCAGCAGTGGCGAAGCGTCTTGGCTCGCCGACTGGCCCACCAAAGAATGTTATAAGAACCGTTTGTGTGGTCTGGCCGAAATGTTATTAGACCATTCCTGTCTAGGACTGTCTTGTTTAGTACATCGGGCTTATGTCCTAAGCACATTGCGTTTGTTCTTAGAACATTTTCGGGTTCTAAGAACATTTCGTGGCAGGCCTATAGAAATGCTGGGACGGTCGGTCCCTGCTCAATCTTTAGACTTTGGAGGTCCGCGCAGCGCTCCGCGCGCCAGGGGGGGTCAAGCCCCGACCCAAGGAATCCGCGCGGACCTCCGAATTATGATATTGGTGCAGTTTGTCGACATCTGGGATGTTCAGCGGAAGCTTGCCATGAATCAAGCGGGTCCTGAGGAAGACGGGTTCTGTTTTTTTTTTCTCAGTTTTCGGAGTCCCGGGGCATTCCTCCCCAGGCCCCAGGACCGTCGGCAAACTGTGGGGGGCAAAGACTTGGTGTTGGAGGAAGGCCCAGGGTCCAGGACCCGTCTCTCGGAACCCGCATCTCTCATGCAAAGGGTTCGTGGAGATGAACAAGACAAACCCAGGACCTAGGCAGTAACGTAGGATGGACATCAAGAGATGCCAGGGTCGTGGGCGTCACGCATCAGCGCTTTGGGCGATGATCGACCAGTTGGGTTCTAATTTGGTCTCCATGTGGGCCTGTGTTGTCCTCGTCGTTGGGGTGCGTTGGTCGTCCTTTTCCTTCAAAGTCGCCTGCAGCGGCAGAAAGCTGGTTGTTGAGTGGCTCCCCCCTGCGTGCGCTTCTTGAGCGTCGGTCTGTTGGAGGGCCGCGCGGAGCTCTTGGCTCAGCTCTGGACACCCCGCGCCTCGGGATGTGGGAGAGGGGCCCAGCATTGGCCCAACAAACCCGCTCGAACCTCTGTAAGGCTCAAGTTCATGCCGTTGCCTGTTCTTCTGCATGTCCCTGAGGTGCACGCCATTCCGCCGACTCCCGGGGGAGGAGGTTCAATAGGGGATACGTGCAATGATGAAAGAGAGAAGGAGGTTAGCGTGGAGAGCACAGGAGTTTCTATGACCGAGTGGATTTCCCTGTGTGGGCGATGTCAGCGAGTAATGAGCAAGCGTGCAAATATCCGAATTCGGGCGCCTTCTGGGCCCTGTATCTCCAAGAGCGTGCGCCGTATGCCCACGCACTTGGGTGGCAATTTCGAGGATCTTGTTGGAGCTCTCGTGGGCAATCTTGGGGTCCCTCTGGGGATATCTTTGGACCACCATTGGCACTTCTGGATTTGTTTCTCGGTTTTCCAGGCTCTCTTCGAGAGGTCATTTTGCGGCACATCAGGCGTAGGGCTGAAGTGAGTTATCAGTGGCTCCAGCCGCGAAAGAGGGGGAGGTACACCATGGTGCACGCAGGCTGGTGGGCTCGACCTCGCGCGTTGCTGACTGGCCTTGAGAAGCATTGCAGTTGCGACCACGGATTTCGTCAACGACGCGGGTTGCTGGAGTCCCTCGGCTAGCACGTCGACGATCGCCCAGAGAAAGCTGGCGCAGGCTTACGTCCCAAGGCGCCGTCTTGGAGGAAATGGTTGCACGCGCGTCGGCAGCTGCGCGAAGGGGTGGCGCTGAAGCATAGGCAGCTGCAGATGTCCTCAGACCTCTCTCTAGCCCCGTGGCGGCTCGCGCTCAGAGGCGAGCGGTCGCGGATGTCATCTTGGATGGAGACGGGCGAGGCGCTGGGCAAGCTGCGCCACGGCACTGGCCGAGAGAGCCCGCCGCTCGCCGGGAGTCGGAGGTCGACGGCAGCATCCTTTTTTGCCAGCCGCCCGAGCTCGCGGGTCACAGGACAGGAAAGGCGGAAGGTCGGGGTGTCATCGCCACCAGAGGCTGAGGCCACGCGGGTGGGTTGTCGAGGGGCACATGAAGCCGCGCGGCGCACGATGGCCGGGGCGGGCCAGGGGTCTGCTCGGATGCCCCCCCCCGGCGGGCTTCGAACGCCCGCCGCTGGCCGCGCCGGATGGTCTGGCCCGCCCGCGCGCGGCCATGGCGGCGGAGGTGGCGCGGCCACGTGAGGCGACAGTGGCATTGGGGAGGCCGGTCCCCGAACGCCCGAGGGCGACCGCCTCGTCGGCATGCTTTCTCAATGTTCTGCCGAAGTCGGTCCCTCGCGAGGCGGCCCCGCGCCGGGGGCACTGGGTCCCTCGCGAGGCGGCCCCGCGCCGGGGGCGCTGCGGCGCGAGGCAGCTCGGACCTGCTCGGAGCGGCAGCGCGCGCGCCGGAAGAGGAGGTCGGCCACAGGCGAGGGCGCCTCCCCGGGCATGGGGCTGCTGCTGCCGAAGGGTCGGGCCGAACAAAGGGGGGGGGATAGGGAAAGGGGGGGATAGGGAATCGGTTACGAAATCTGCTGCATGCGGCTGGTTTCGGCCTCACCGAGGGGCCCATTCCTCGATACGTAGCCGCCTCTGGCGCCGGGAGGCGCCAGGAAAACCAGCTGCTATTGCCCCCCTTTCGCCCGACCCGAATAGGGCTGCTGCTGCCGAAGGGGCTGGCTTGGGGCATTCCAGCGGCCACCCAGCGCCTCGAGCTGTTCCGGCGCAGCGTCCCCGCGGACGCTGGGCCAGTCAAACTCGTTGGCGCGACCTATCGCGCCGCCGAAGTCAGCGTTCCAAGGCCCTTCGTGCAGGCGCACGATTTTGCCGAATCGTGGTCCACATCGCTGTAGACAGGATTTGTTCGGCCCATCCGAGGAAGGGCCACCAGATATGGGTGGCCGATTCGGCGCGACGTGCAGTTGGATCACGCGCCAGCATCCGCCAGCAGCTCATCAGCAGCTTGTTGGAGACATGCCGCAACCTGGCGTCCATGAAGCTGCGGGTTGCTAGAAAGGTAGCACGATCGTTGAAGTTGGCTTGCTTTCAAGCTCGAGCTGAACGTTCGGCGGGCGACTGAGGCGCGGATCTAGGTGGTGGCGGGGAACACGCTTGCACAGCCAGGCGCATGCATCTCGCTGAGTGCATTCGCGCGCACAGCGAAGCGAGACGTTTTGCAATGGGTGGGCGGAAGCACGCAGCAGCCTCTCAGTGGGGGCGCCCGGGCGCACGGACGAGAGGCGCGCGCGGCCTCCAGATCCACGGGATCTTCGGCGCGCGCGCGCAGACCAACCGTCGGCGGATAGGCGCGGCGCTCTCGCAGGGCCGGTGCCTCGCCAAGCTGTTGGCGGTGAAGGCGCCCGTGCACCCCGCCTTGAAGTGGCCCGTGGAGCGTCTGCGGCAGCGGTTCCGAGCATGAGGAGAGGAGTTTCGAAGGAAGCTCTGGAGATGCGCAGCCGCGCATCTTTGCGGAGGCGGCATGGGGGCGGCATCGACTGTGCATCCTTTCAGAGGCTGCACCCGCTGTTGCTCGTTCTCGAACGGGACAGTCGTCTGTCCGACCTGCTCATCTCATCGGGCATGGGGTACGCATGCGAATGCGTCCATTGTAGCCTTCGAAGGAGCTCCCTATGGGGCCACGAAGCCCTGTACTGGATGGGGTGACGCATGCGGGCGGTGCCGCTGGGGCCCTCGGTGGAGCTCCCTATGAGGCCACGAAACGCTGTACTGGGTTGGGGTGACGCATGCGGGCGGTACCATTGGGGACTTCGGTGGAGCTCCCTGCGGGGCCACGAAACGCTGTACTGGGTGGGGGTGACGCATGCGGGCGGTGCCATCAGGGCCTTCGGTGGAGCTCCCAATGGGGCCACGAAACGCTGTACTGGGTGGGGGTGACGCATGCGGGCGGTGCCATTCGGGCCTTCGGTGGAGCGCCCTATGGGGCCACGAAACGCTGTAATGGGTGGGGGTTGACGCATGCGGGCGGTGCCACGACGAAACGCTGTATTGGGTGGGGGTGACGCATGCGGGCGGTAGCAATTGGGCCTTCGGTGGAGCTCCCTATGGGACCACGAAAAGCCGTACTGGGTGGGGGTGACGCATGCGGGCGGTGCCGCTGGGGCCTTCGGTGGAGCTCCCTATGGGGCAAGGAAGCGCTGTGCTAGGTGGGGGGTGACGCATGCGGGCGGTGCCACTGCGGCCTTCTGTGGAGCTCCTCATGGGGCCACGAAGCCCTGCACTGGGTGGAGGTGGCGCACGCGGGCGGTACCATTGGGGACTTCGGTGGAGCGTCCTAGTGGGCCACGAAACGCTGTACTGAGTAGGAGGTGGCGCATGTGGGCAGTGCCACTGGGGCCTTCGGTGGAGCTCCCTATGGGACCACGAAAAGCCGTACTGGGTGGGGGTGACGCATGCGGGCGGTGCCGCTGGGGCCTTCGGTGGAGCTCCCTATGGGGCAAGGAAGCGCTGTGCTAGGTGGGGGGTGACGCATGCGGGCGGTGCCACTGCGGCCTTCTGTGGAGCTCCTCATGGGGCCCCGAAGCGCTGCACTGGGTGGAGGTGGCGCACGCGGGCGGTACCATTGGGGACTTCGGTGGAGCTTCCTATTGGGCCACGAAACGCTGTACTGAGTAGGAGGTGGCGCATGTGGGCAGTGCCACTGGGGCCTTCGGTGGAGCTCCCTATGGGGCCACGAAACGCTGTACTGGGTGGGGGGTGACGCATGCGGGCGGTGCCGCTGCGGCCTTCGGTGGCGCGCCCTATGGGGCCACGAAGCGCTGTAATGAGTGGGGGTGACGCATGCGGGCGGTGCCGCCCTTCGGTGGAGCTCCCTATGGGGCCACGAAACGCTGTACTGGGTGGGGGTGACGCGTGCGGGCGGTGCCATTCGGGCCCTCGGAGGAGCTCCCTGCGGGGCCACGAATCGCTGTACTGGGTGGGGGGTGACGCATGCGGCGGTGCCACGACGAAACGCTGTACTGAGTGGGGGTGACGCATGCGGGCGGTAGCATTTGGGCCGTCGGTAGAGCTCCTTAGGTATGGAAACGTGTGAGGGGTGTGCCAAAGTGAGCGTGGTGTTGGGAGGAGGGAGGAGGGGGGGGGAGGAAAAAGGAACGCGGGGACCGTTTCTTTGTAACGAGGACCCAACACCACAGGATGGTTGGGAACAACGCATATGAAGAACCCCCCTGCCCACCCCGAAATTCTGGTCTGCGGGTCTGGTTGGGGTGGTCTGGTAGGTAGTCACTCGCTGACCTCCCGCCCGCGCCGTGCGCCGCTCCCCCCCCCCGCAGGTGGGGCGGCGGCGCGGGCTGGTGGGAGTCGCCCGGCGGCGAGCAGCGAGGTCCGCTCGGGCCAGGAGGGAGGAGGGAGGAGGAGGAGGAGGAGGAGGAGGAGGAGGAGGGGGAGGAGGAGGAGGAGGAGGAGGAGGAGGAGGAGGAGGAGGAGGAGGAAGTGGAGGAGGAGGAGGAGGACGAGATAGGGAGGAGGTGGGGGAGGAGGGAGGACGGAGGAGGAAGAAGAGCGGGAGTTCAGAGCTCATCGCTCACCGCTCCTCCTCTTCCTCCTCCCCTCGCTCGTTCCCCTCCTCCCCTTGCTTGTTCCCCTGCTCCCCTCGCTCCTCTCCTCGCTCCTCCTCATTTCTCCCCTCGCTCTACCGCCTCGTCTTCATCATCCTTCTCCGCTCACCTCCCGTCTCCTCCGCCTCCTCCCTTTCTCCCCGCGCGTGCGAGAAAGAGGAGGAGGAGGAAGAGGGTAAGGAGGAAGAGAAGGGGGAGGAGATGGGCGGAGCGAACGGAGAAAGCGAAGGAGGAAGGGTGAGAAGGGGGAGGAGGAGGAGGAGGAGCAGGAGGAGGAGGAGGAGGAGAAGGGGGGACGAGGAGGAAGAGGAGCAGATGGCGGAGGAGGAGGGAGGAGGAGCAGGAGGGGGATGAGAGGGAAGAAGGGAAAGCAGAATGGAGCCAGAGGGAGGGAGGGAACGGGGAGGGCGACCCAGCCATGCCCGACAATCAAGTCATCACCGCCACGAAGCTTCGCTTCTGTTGTTGCGTCTGCCCGCCGTGCGCCGCATGCCAGCACCGCCACGATGACGGTACCTTCTGAAGCGCGCCTTTGGACAGCTACGGGTGGCACCCCAGGCGTCGCGGAGTTGGACAGTCCCGCACCGCCCGCCACGGCCGCGAGCGGGTTTGGCCCGCACAGCTGCACACCATCCTCACAGGCCTCGCTGCGGCCACGGAGCAGCTTGCCCCAGCGTGGGACCGCGTCAGCCAGCGCACAGGCCTGCTGGAGGCTGCCAAGTTGGACGTCGCCACCACGGATCTGGTCATCGGCTGGCCCCTCTATGTTGACGGAGCACTACCTTCGGGGGTAGACATACCTCCTACCCTGACACGTCGATGAAGGAATTGGCCGTTTTCGGTTCGACAGAGGACGTCGCGGCCGTCATTTTTGCTGGTCCAGGTCCGTCGGTTTCGGTCCCACGCCGTTTTCACTAAGGGGAGGTGTACTAAAGGGAGGTTTGTCCACCGCCGACACATGCGAATACACAGAGTATGCCACTCGCAGGCAAGCCTGGTCCAACAACGACGGCGTGGCCGCAACAGCCATGGCCCAGGACAAGCGGACCCGGCACCCCCCCTCTGGCGGGTGTGACCCTGCATTTTTTTGGTTGTCGAAACATTTGGTCGCTCTTCCGGCACTAAGCCGCAGAGTTCATCGATGTGGTGGGCACAACGTCGATGAAGCGGTGGCGGCACATATCCCGCCAGGTCCAACGCGGCAGCGCAGAGATTGTGTTTTGCGCGAGTGGCCAGTGAGGCCCACAGTTCCCACCACCTCAACTACCACCACCATTGATTACCACGGCACCCTCCAGCACGACCGCCACTACCACGGCAGCGACCACAGCAGCAGCGGCGAGCAGAACTGTATTTCGGCGGCGAGCGAGGGGGTTAGTGAGAAGGAGAAGGCTTTCTCAGAAGGTTCGGAAATCCCCCGGCCTTTTGAGAAGTTTCCTGAGCCTTCCCCGACGACAGAACAAAATGTGTGAGAATGCGCGAGGGCTAAGTCCCGCCGCCTCCTGAGAAGGCCTTCTCCTTCTCATTTCCCCCCCTCGCTCGCCGCCGAATATTGACCACGACGATTGCGACGGCCCTGGCGGCATGGAGACGTCGCCTCCACGACGACCACGACGCGGCCACGACCCCGAGCGACGTGACCGCCGACCCGCGTCGCCACCTCTCCCTGATGCTTGCCCCTTGCTGGTCGCCCCTGTTTGGCCGCCCCTGATTGTGCTTCGCTGCATCGCTCCCTCTCCCTCTCCTCCTCCTCCTCCTCCTCCTCCTCCTCCTCCCCTCCTCCTCCCCTCCTCCTCCTCCTCCTCCTCCTCCTCCTCCACCTCCTCCTCCTTCTCGTCCTCCTCCTCCTCTGATTCCTCCCCCTCCCCCTCCTCCTCCTCCTCCCCCTCCTTCTTCTCCTCATCCGCCTCCTCCTCCTCCTCCTCCTTCTCCTCCCGCTCTTCTTATTATTTGTCTTCGTCTTCTTATTATTATTCTTCTTATTCTTATTATTATTCTTCTTCTTATTTTTATTATTAATATTATTATCATTATTATTATTATTTTCTTCTTATTAGTATTATTATTATTATTGTTCTTATTATTCTTATGTTGTTTTCTGATTATTATTATTCTTCTTCTTATTATTATTATTATTCCTATTCTTATTATTCTTCTGATTATGCTTCTTCTTCTTCTTATTATTAGTATCTTTATTACTATTATTATTCTTCTTCTTCTTATCATTATTATTATTATTATTCTTCCTCCTCCTCCTCCTCCTCCTCCTCCTCCTCCTCCTCCTCTGCCTCCTCCCCCTCCCCCTCCTTCTCCTCATCTCCCTCCTCCTCCTCCTCCTCCTCCTCCTCTGCCTCATCTTCTGCCTCCTCCCCCATCCACCTCCTCGTCCCCCTCCTCCTCCTCCTCCTCCTCCTCCTCCTCCTCCTCCTCCTCCTCCACTTCCGCAAGCGGGGACACTCGCGGATGACCGCGGCCCAGGTAATTGATTCAGCAACATGTTTGCAGTTTGGCGTCTGTCCTGCATAAATAACAACGAGGAATCGAAACACGCAGCCGTGCCGAGAGCGCCACGGGGCCAGTCTTGAAAGAGGCCGGGTCCAAGCGGAGGCCAGCGAGGGGCCCGAGACCATAATCCCAACGCTTGGGGATCCCCATTGAGTGACGGGGGGGGCCCAGCCAGATCCCCGGGGCCTCCTAGCTGGATTGGGGTGGAAGGAAGGGAGGGAGGGAGGAGCGAGGAGGAGAAGCGAGGAGGAGGAAGGAGGTGGGAGGGAGGAGGAGGGAGGACGGACGGATGAACAGACGACGACGACGACGACGACGACGACGACGACGACGACCCCATCCCTTCGGGTGGCCGGCCAGCCCCGCGGGGAGCGAGGCGACCGGGCGGCTGGCGGCGGCGCCGCGGAAGCGCCGAGGAGGTGGCGGCCCGGCGCCGGCGCCGGCCAGCGAGGGACGCCATCCCAGCGGCATCAGTAGCGGCTGCCATGCCTACAAAAAGAAGGAGCGGAGGGCCCAGTTTCAAGTAGTGGCGCAGCGTCCTGACTTGCCCTCAGGCCCAACAACTGAGAACCTCGTGTAGTCTGCACAGAAGGTTGGTTAAACATGTGTTGTTGAGGCAGCCTTGCTCGAGTACATGGCCTCATGCTTTAAGCAAACGGTTTCTGATATTGCAACGTTCTTTTGCTCCACGAGCATGTCGTGGTGGGCCTTCTGGCATGCCGGGGCAGGCGGTCCGCGCTCGAGCTTCCCTTGGGGTCCGGGCGCTGCCATTTTTGTCACCGCGCGTGCTGGCAGTTCAGAGGTGGGGTCTTTTGAGGGATGGGCTCCTCGGGACGAGGCGCCCCAGGCAATGGTAAGTCCACCCTCGGATCCCTTCCTGGCCTCAGGGCCCCGTCCTTCGAAAACACCTTGCGTTTTCGGGCCCCAGGGCCATCACAGATCGAGCGGACTCCGAAGAGTGCCGCAGGGAGACGGGGTCTAGGGTCGGCATCGCCCCAGCATGCTGCCTCCGTCGCCCCACCAGGGGTGACGCGCGGCGCGCACCGAGAAGTCTTCTAGGACATGCGTCGTGGTGGGCGCTTTCTGGCCGTACCGCTCGGGAGACTTTATAGTGGCTGTAAGATCTGTGTGCTCTGTGTTCAGGGCGGACGCACGCCGCTGAGGAGGACTCATAGCACCAGCACAGCGGAAACCCATGCCAAGAAACACCCTGTTTTTTCCTCCAGGGTGCCTTGGGTTTCTTGGGCTTCGATTGCTTCGCTATGGAGAGCGCGACGTTCCCGCACCAAAAACCAAATGGACGTCTTGGGGTCTCAGGGTTGGGTTTCTTGCGGAAGGGTTCTCGTGGCCGAGCTCCTACGGTAGTACCAGGATGTCCTTGTGCCTGGCATCACTCGGACGTGTGCATTTTTTCCTCGGCGAGGACCATCGAGGAGCATCCTTGATCATTTGGCGAAAAAACCACGCACGAAACCCCCCAAAAAAAGGAAATGGACGTCCGAGCGATGGCCAGGTACCAGGATGCCCTTGTGCGCCCCATGGGGCTCGAAGCGTTCGCGAGGCTCTTGCGCCCGCTTGGAGCCTCCAGGAGGCCTCTCGTCGCCGCGGCGGGGGACTCCCCACGACACGTGGCTCAAGAGGCGCCCCCTGGAGAGGCCCCCCTGTCACCTCCTGCCCTCCCTTCGCTCCCCCGCCCTCCCCCAGCATCTCTCCCCGCACGGTCCCCCCTCCGACCCTCCTCCCCCCCGCTCCCCCCTCCCCAGTATTGCCCCCCCCCCCCCCCCTGCCTCCCCGCGGGCGAAAGAAGGTGTGAGATAGACTGCTCCGCGATCGGGGGGGGGGGCCTGTCCCACGGCGCAGCGCGACTGGGACAAGGCTCCCCGCGCATGCCATCGCAGGGGTACAAGGCTTCCCCGCCGCCCTGGGATAGGCGCCCCCGCTGGCGGACGAGTCAATGATGGTGCTCCTCTTCGCCCGTGAGCTCCCCCCCTCGCCATCCCTAGCATTTGCTTCCTCCACGTTTCCGGTCCCTCTTCCCCCTCCTCCCTCCCGCCGGGCCTTTCCATTCATTGAGGAGGCGGGCCCCAGCTGGTCACGGGAGAAGGGGGAGCAGCTTCGAACGGAAAAGCCCATCGCACACGCGGACAGGCTCTGCGGATTCCCTTGCCCGCATCCCCTCTCTTCCTCCTCGCCCCCCTCCTCCCCCGGGGGAGGACAGCGACTGATCAGGACTGGGACGACAACCGCCAAAGAGGAAGGAGCGCCCTGGAGCCCCTCCCCCCGCGAAGAAGAAGGCCTCCGCCCGAGGCCCCAGGCCCCAGGCCTGGTTCACTCGTGTAAATGGAGGAGGAGGAGGAGGAGGGGGGGGAGGAGGAGGAGGTGGAGGAGAAGGAGGAGGAGGAGGAGGAGGGAGGAGGGAGGAGGGAGGAGGGAGGAGGGAGGAGGGAGGAGGGAAGAGGGAGGAGGAGGAGGAGAAGGTGGAGGAGCAGGAGGAGGAGAGCCCGAAACCCCAAGACGCACTGGATGTGGGTATGACTGGAGGACGGCGCTGGAACCGATCTTAGCCACGCCTGTCTGCGGCCCGGGGCCGGTGCAGGTGCAGTCCGGGCCCCGTCTCTGGACGCCCGAAATGGGCACGGAAAGAATGGGTACAATGCCTTACAGCAGTTCCTGTTCATTTTGAACAGGATTCGCTGTCCGCGCCGCCGCGGCCTGTGTCCATTCGAGACAGAAAACCGCCTGCCCAACAGCGGCCGCTGTTGGTGTGGGACAACATTTGTTGTTTAGCATTGTATCAATTTTTTCCGTACCCATTTCGGGCGCCCAAACAGTCGGGGCTCAAGAGACGGGGGTCGGTGCGAACGGGGGTCAGCCAGAGCGCCAAGTCTTGCAGGATGGTGCAGGGCTGGGGTCGCAGTGCAGGGCCAAGAGAGTCCCCAAGACGGCCCCAGAGGCCTCCGATCGAGCTCCCGGGGCCCCCCAGACGGCCCCAAGAACCTCCCCAGACGGCCCCAAGGGACGCCCAAGAGGGTCCAGTTCGGAGCGCTTCCCCCCCTCCTGGCCCCCCCACGGCCAGCAAGGTTCCAAGACGCCCCCGAGAGGCCCCCAGAAGGCCCCGGAGGCGCTCCCAGGGTCGAACTGACCCGGGCTTGGGTGCAGGATCTCGGTATCGTTTATCCGATCCCCATCCCCTTTACAGCGAGCGGCTTTAAGAAGGAGCCTTTACTCTTCAAGAGGGGCTCGGTCGTTCCTCAGGCTTGCAGGCGTTATGTATCGTTCCTTCGGTGTTCTGTATTTCAGTTCGTTTAACCGATCCACATCCCCAACCCCACCTCCTTCGAGACCCCAACCAAATTACCATCCCAGTTGGGGATACACCCTTCGAAAGCCGAACGGATCGACCTATATCCCGATCTAGGGGGGTAAATCGGCCAGCGGGGCCCAGGCCACGCCGTTGGGGATGGGGATCGGTTACACGATACTCAGGATCCTGCTGAATCTTGCAGGATCATTCGCACTGACCCGGGCTTGGGTGCAGGGTCTTGTGCAAGGCTTGACTGGCCCGAGTCGTTGGCTTGGCCCGGGTCAGCAGATCCCCGACCCAGCAAGGGGAGGAGCGTGTGCAGCGATGTTGGGCACAGAGTCGGTTTGGCCGCGCTCGGCGTCGGTGCATGTCTTGACCATGCACCGCTACCGAGCGCAGCCAAGTTTGCGCGCGGCAGTCCGTCGCCGTCGCCCCTCCTCCGTCTATCTCCTGGCCCTCTCGCCTCCGCCCTTCCCTCCGCTCCCCTTCCATATGTGTTCCTTTTCTTCTATCGATCCCCTCCCTCCCTTCCCTTTTGCCCCCTCTTCCAGTGGTGGCATGTTTCCTGTCATTGGTCGGCTGCGCACCTTTCAGAGGCCACTGATGCTGGCATACCCCCTTTGCGATTACTACCTATGCTGGTACTCTACCAGCCAGCTTGGTCACCATCCCAATATTTCACTCCCTATCCCCCGTCCCCCCATGTTCCCTGTTCCCTGCACGCCCATCTCCATCTTCCATCAGTCCTTCCTCGCCTATCAACCACCATCCCTCCCAATTCCTCCCCCTTGGCCGTTCCTCTCTTGTTTTTCGTCATTCCCCCCCCCCTTCTCTCTCTCTCCCTCTCTCTCTCTCTCTCTCTTGGCTTCCCATCCACCCATCCCTCTTTCTCTCGCCCCCCCACTCCTCATCCGCCCAACCTCCTCTCCATCTCCCAAGATCCCCTCATCCACCTCCCCTTCTCTTCCTTCCCCCTACCCTACCCGCGCACCCTCCCGCCCACTGCTGCCCCCTCCTCCCTGGACGTCGTCTGGCTTGGACGGCGTCTGGGCGGACTACGTCGGGAGGGGGTGGCAGGAAAGAGCAGAAGGATAAAGGCACAGACACCAATAAAACGTTGGCCTTCGTGAAAAAATGAAACTGAGGGGAAGCGGAACATCCAGCAAATATTCAAGTGGTTTACACCATTCCGCCGATCCCGAGAAGAAGCGAGGGTTTCTAGCGATGGTGGAAGTTGTATGATGGGTCAGGAGCTTGTTGGATGCATAGTGTGAAGATGTTTGAGGGGCCCCTGGGATGCTTCTCAGATGCATCTTGGAGGGCTCTGTGTTGCATCTGGGGGGCTTCTTGGAGGCCTCTTGGAGGGCCCTTGGGGCCTCTTAGGGGAGCCTCGGGGGCCTCTGGGGGGCTCTCCTGTAACCGCTACGCGAATAACAACGAAAAATCAACGTGACACAGTGTGCGTGTGGTTGTGGTTCCCAGCTTTTGCTCCCGACGGAAGCGAGGGGTTGTCGGCCACCCAACCCACCCGCGTGACAGCTCTTCGGCCCAATGAAAGTCAGGAGGCAAAGCAAGGTGCAGTCTGCGGCGTGGTGTCCCAAAAGCGACAGCGACCCGTGCCGACGACATGCGCCCGCGACTCGACTCGCACCAGCAACCCGCACTCGCGACAGGCTTTCGCGACCAGAGCTCGCGACAAGAGTCTGCGACCCGCGCTGGAGATCGCGCCTGCGACAGGCGACCTGCGCCCCCTTGTTGGCCGCCTCATGGACTGGTTTCCTGCCAGATGTGCCCGCTCTTGCGGCCCTGCTGGCTGTCTCATAAAAGCCCACAGCCCCTGTGGGACCACATTGCCAGTGACACCACTCCTGACAGACAGCACTACGCAATCAGGAGTGTTTGAGCCAATCAGCACCTGAGCACCACCGGGACTGTGAGCACCCAGCCGCCTGTGGGACCACATTGTCAGTCACCGCCATTCTTGACAAGCAGCAGTACGCAATCAGGATTGTTTGAGCCAAGCAACGCTTGAGCACCACCGTGTCTATGAGTACCCAACCGCCTCCAACCATCCGTCGAAAGTCAATCCCACCACTCTTGCATTCCTCTTCTGTCCACCCCATCCCCCTTCCTTCGTTTACTTTTCCTCAACTTGCGACCTCTTCTCTCTATCTTTCCTCCCTTCACCCC